GCATGAGGGAAAAGGAGACCCCAGTAACTCTGATCTGGGGTTTCAGCTTGTACAATCACAGGGTGGGAATACCTTACGTTTAGCTGGGGTAATTTTGCAGGAGAGGAACAGATGAGGGCATGGGATGCCTACGAGTTTGGCTTTTGATGAGCTAAATTGCTCTTTGAACAGGAGACTTGAAGTAGCTCTAGCTTCTTTTCCTCTTTGTATCTAGGGCCAAAGGAACACTCAGAAAAAAGGTTTGCTGCCTGCATTGATATCCAAGCAACAGAGGCTCCGCTGGCCTCAGCTGAAATGCCAGGAGTCACAGCCAGAGGCTAAGCTGAGTAGCTGGCATAGGAAAGCTGACATGACCAGTGCTCAGGCAGGCAGATCATTGGGAAATGGCCAGGGTGGAGAGGGAGAGGCTGTGAGTCTATGTACCAAAAAGAAACAGATACCTGGTTATCAAAAGAGAGAATATATTTATAAATAATATGGCATCCCCTAAAACAAGGTTCTCTCTCCCTCCTCTCCTCTGTGTGTGTGGCAAGGCAGGAGGGGTCTGTTGAGGAGACAAAAACAGACATTAGATCTTGATTACAAAAGCATATCTATAGACCATCAGTGGTTGTATTAACATGAATGTCTTAGCAACTACAGATGTATGAAAGAGGCATGGGGACTGGGTGATGCTGGCCTATGATTTGGGAAGTAAGCTGTGAGTTCAGAGCCTGAATTTCTCCGTGGTGACACTGCCCTTGTCCTTTGAGGTGAACTTGGCTCTAGAACACTTGGTCACATCAGAGCAATGTATGCTGTTTGTTTCTAAGCCAGAGTCTCACAACTCAAACAATATGATTAGGTGTTCTCAGGAAATCCGTGTCATTCTTGGGATAGGGAACTTTGAAGCCAAAGACAGAGGAAGAAGAGGTGTGCATGTGTACGTGCCTCTGTGTGTGTGGGGGGGGGGAGTAGATATTGGGGAGTTTGTTAGCAGTCATTTAAAACCTTTCTTGGGGATGGGGAGTTAGTTCAGCAGGTAAAAACACTGGTTGTTCTTGCAGAGAGGACCTAGGTTCGATTCCCAGCACTTACACGCAACCAAGTCCCAGGGGAGCTGATACTCTCTTCTGATCTCTAAGGACACCAACTAGGTCCATGGTACACAGAAATACTTTCTGGGGAGATGCCAGCTGGGGAGGCATCTCAGACAGAGAAACCCACTTTAAGTGGGAAGTCTAGTAAGAAATCTCTCCATGGATTGGGATAAAGGAAGGTTGGACAGGGGAGCACGGAACCACAATTCTTAGTTAAGGGAACCACTTTAGGGTTGGCAAGAGACCTGACCCTAGAGGGGCTCCCAGGTGCCCAAGCTGAGGTCCCCAGTTAGTTCCTTGGGCAGTTGAGAATAGGGAACCTGAAATGACCCTATCCTTGAGCAATACTGACGAATACCTTGCATATCATCATAGAACCTTCATCTGGTGATGGATGGAGATAGAGACAGAGACCCACAATGGAGCACTGGACTGAGCTCCCAAAGTCCCAATGAGGAGCAGAAGGAGGGAGAACATGAGCAAAGAAGTCGGGACCACGAGGGATGCACCCACCCACTGAGACAGTGGAGCTGATCTATTGAGAGCTCACCAAGACCGGCTGGACTGTGACTGAAAAAGCATGGGATAAAACTGGACTCTCTGAACATGGCGAACAATGAGGGCTGATGAGACGCAAAGGACAATGGCACGGGGGTTTGATCCTATGTAATGTGATGGCTTTGTGGTCGCCCAGCCAGTTTGGATGTTCACCTTCCTAGATATGGACGGAGGTGGGAGGTCCTAGGTCTTACCACAGGGCAGAAAACCCTGACTGCTCTTTGGACTGGAGAGGGAGGGGGAAAGGAGTGGGGGGAGGGGGAGAAGGGTGGGAGGAGGGGGCGTAGGGGGGGAGGAGGGGGAGGGAAATGGGAGGCTGGGAGGAGGTGGAAACTTGTTTTTTTTTTCTCCTTTTCTCAATAAAAAAAGAAAAAAAAAAAAGAAATCTCTCCATGCTTCAGTGTTGGGTTTCGTGGTCTCTTTCCGAGAAAACCAGGGTACCGCTAGTCTCTCCAGATGCTGTAAGCATCTTCTCTAACTGCTTTCTTGTTTTCCAAGCTACAGCCCATAATTTAGAAGAAACAAAACAAATCAAGCCTCACTGTGGTCTGCAAGTCATAAACTAAAAGCAAGTAAACTTGATTATGCTAATGTCAATCGCTGCAGGTGGCAACACCCGGACTTTGTGGTACCTTTACATCAGAACTGTGCAGTGTGGTTTTATACCTCACCCTTAAGCTTCGGTTGCCACGCTTCCCTGCTCTTCCACACGTATGTTAGACACTATGGCTTCTTAAGTTTTAGTAAGTGACATACTGATTTGTCTGGCAAAAGGTTCTGGAAGGCAAATTTTGATTTAGTGTTCTTAAAGACCTAAGTCACCAAAATGCCCACACTTACACTACTGCAGGGGCTTCCTCCTAGACCTTGAGTTGATCACAAACCATACCCAAACACCTGTTTTTGCAGAGAGATCCCTTATTAGGCGGGGAAGAAAAATCAAAATGGCTGCTTTCTGACTCAGGCAGAAAAACAGCAGCAAATGACCTTGCAAGTGTAATTTTTAAGAAGAGAAAAAGGGGAGGTCTGTGTTAGAAGAGGCTAGGATGGCATGATAAAGGAGATGGGGATGAGGGAGAAGGGGCAGGGGACAAGGGAAAGGGAGACAGACGTGACTCATAGGCAAACAGCAGTTTATAAAGGTAAAACGGGAAGCCCCATGTTAGGGTGAGGTGTTTAATTTTGATTGGGCCTGTTAATGAGGTGAACCAAAGGGGGTTTTTGATGGCTGGACTTCAATACTTTAATAGCTGGACCTTGGTAGTCAGCCTCAGGAGGAGGAAGTGGTCAAAGAAGGAAAGAGACCTTGGTGGTTAGTAATCTAATGTTTTATTTTGGTTTGGTTGTTTGTTTTCAAGGCAGAGGGAAAGGGTGGAAGGGCAAAAGCTGCCAGAGTCCCATGCTCAGATGGGCTAGTGTCCCTTCAGGAGTTTCTCTTCTAGCTTCAGGAGACATTAAAATCCTTCTTGGGCTAGAGAGTTAGCTCAGTGGTTAGAAACACAACAGCTCACTGCCATCTGTAACTCCAGAACCAGAGACTCTGACACCCTCTTATGACCTTTGAGGGTACCAGGCAGACACAAATACATGCAGGCATAACTACTATAGACATAAATCAATAAAATAAATGAATCTAAAAACACATTTTTAAAAGCATTCTTGGGTCTATGGCATCCTTCAACCTCCTTCCAAAAAGCAGTTTTGCTCACTCTTAGAGGCACTGCCCAATGAAACGTTGACCTTTAAGGTTTGGGGGGCCCAGCCCTGGCCAGGAGCACATGTTGGGAAGATTAAGCAGCTGCGTTTTCATGGGGGGGGGGGTGGGGGGCACACAGGTATCAATTGGTTCATCCTGATGAAGAGAAGGTGAGGGAAGGAAAGGGAAGGGCTGACTAGTGCCTGTGGCGAGCTTGCTTCAGCAGGACTCTGTGAGCAGTGGTTCTCAACCTTCCCAATGCTGGGACATTTTAATACAGCTCCCCACATTGGAGTGACACCCCCCCCCCCCCAGCCATAAAACCATGTTCACTGCTGCTTCAGAAGTGCAATGTTGCTACTGTTATTGATCATAATGTACATGTCTGTGTTTTCTGATGATCTATGGTGACCCCCGTGAAAGGGCTCAATAACCCTCCATCTGGGGTCGCGACCCACATGCTGAGAACTGTGACTCTTTGCGGGCAATCTCCCCACTCACTCTGCGGTGTCTTGCTCATTGGTGACAAAAGACGGTGACAGAGCAGAGAATCAGGACTTGTTGCAGATGATGCAACTGTAGTTTGGGTTGAATAATTAAACATTGACTTTCGATACTCAAATTAACAAAAAAAAAATCAGTGATTAATCTAAGGCACACACCATCCAGCCAAGCAGAAAAGCAGATGTATAGCTACAGTCTTGATCCGGGCCTCTACCTTCAGGTTCTGAGGCATGGGCTAAATACTCAAGTTTCAGACTGTGGCAAAAATTAAGACTGAATGCCACTAATAAGTCCTAAGCAGCTCATAAACACGTGCGTTCCAGAGGGCCCGTGCCCACACCCCAACATCCCCCTAAGTGTCCCTCAAGCTGTTGGCAGCCAAATGCTCTGCAGACATCCTGAACGGATTAGTGGCAACATTTGGTAGTGGGCACAGGTAATTGTCTACTTACTGTTTCCTTAATTTGATTATTGTTTTCCCGTAGTTTAGCCTACCTGCTGTAATTGTGGTTATCCTGTCAACAGGAATTATTTCATACTGTGTAAAACATTCAGTCGGGGCAGCATATGGTGCTTTGCAAATCACCGAATGAGGCAGATTAACTCAGGTGGAGTCTAGCAGGTTGATACCGGCTGATGCCACTGAGTCAGGAACCCCAATTAAACAAATTGCCCAACAAGTATCAGTTGCTGGTAAACCAATTTTTTTAAATCTGTTTTCTATAAACACCCACATACACATTCATTTCTATATTTTGGTAAAAGTAATAACTACCCATGGGAAAATATGCATGTGATATGGAGTACAAAGAAGAAAGTAAATCAAGGATGTGAAGGACCTTCAGCCAGAGACATCACACACACACATACACACACACATACACACACACAAACACGGGTCTAAGGATAGTCTCTGAACCATGATCAGTCTCTCTTCCAGGGGCCACATTCCTAGAAGAAAATAGTGTTCTCTCCTCCAGATGACATCAAGTGCCAGCAGCTCCTCAGCTAGGGGCGGGGACTCTTGAGAGCCTCCCCATTCCGCATTAGCTTAGCCTGTGGTCAGACTTAATTAAGCACAGGCCTACTGCAGGCACTGTCAGTGTGGGTGTGGCTCCATCAGGTTCACCCTTTTGCTCTGGTCCTTCACATGGTAGCTCTTACAGCATCTCTCCCCAGGCAATGCTCTCTGAGCCTTGAACTCTATTCAGCTGTCAAGAAAAAAAAATGCAATTATAAAACTTACAGGTACGTGGAATGAAAATAGTAAAAATTATACTGAGTGAGGTACCCAGAACCAGCAAAGACAAGGGTCCCATGTTTTTATTCCTGTCTGGATCTTTAGCTTTGAGTGTTTAACCCGATCCACCTGTAGAATGCAGGCAGCTAGGAAGGGACCGATGTGGGAAGGGGAAGATGGATCTCAAGGAGAGGGGCAGTAGAACCCAGTAAGATGAAGGGGAAAGGGAGAATAATGGGGAAGGAGGTTTAAATGTGAAGGGAGGGGAGAGAGGGTAGTGCTGGGGAGGGGATGGCGGCAAAAGATAAGTAACAATAAGGATGCTTTGAAAAGTCACCTGGAAACCCATTTTGTAAACTTCCTAAGTGTATTATAGATTATATAGACTAGTCCCAGTGCTGGCTGCTCTTCCAAAGGACCTGCTTCAATTCCAGGTACTTACAAGGCAGCTTGCAGCTGTCACCCCAGCTTCAGGGCACGTGACATCCTTGTTTGGCCTCTATAGACACCAGACATATGTGTGTTCCAAAGACTTACTTGTGTGCAAAACACCCATACACATTAAAAAAAAACATTTAATTTCTTAAAACAGAGTTTAGTTGGAGTTATTCTACACAGGACATAATGCATCTCCCAGAAGTCAGACACAAAGTCCAGTGCCAGGGGCAGGAGAGCTTCGCTTCAGTTTTGCTTCAAGATTACCCGGATATCTCAAACAACACAGGCTTTAGCCATGGCTTTTGCTTGTCTGCAGCAACCTGATGGTAAGACCCTATTCTTGAAGGTACCATACACTTTGGTCACTAGACTTGAAGAAATCAAGCTGGTTCCAAGCTGGCTAGCTTTCATAGTCCTGGACAGGGTGTTTTCAGGGCAGGAGGTCATCATCAGTCCTGTTCAGCTATGAGTCCTGTGAACTATAGTAATGTCTTATGTGGGAAGATAGGCCCATGTAACAGTGGCAGGGTTGCTATGGGGTAACCAGTCACTTCCAATTGGACTTAAAGTCTACTCCACAGGATGAAACATGTGCCTGGTTCTACAAATCTGGCCAAGCACTTATCCCTGGGGAACTCCAGTATTAGGGGTAAAACTACTATTATTGTTTTGCTAATGAACACATTAGCTTCCCTCTAAGGTCCTATTTTTGGATCCATAGTTTAGTGTCGCTCTCTGACCTCATCTGGGAAGTTTCTTTGTGCACTCAATGGTGGTTAATGCAGACACACAAAACTGGGCAAATGAGGAGAATACACATCTATGGAATGCTCAACTACAAATAGGGCACCCATGCCAGATGTGTCTCTAAAGTCTGAGCACTGCAATAATCCTAGTGTTTTCATACAGAAGGAAGAAAAGGTCACAGGAATGCTAGTCCAAAGTCAGGCTAGACTGCACAGAGGGTTCCTGTCTATTGGCACACACCTGGAATCCTGTCATTCCAAAGGCTGAAAAAGGGCAAGGTCACTAGTTTTAGACCAGCCTGATTCCAAAGGAAGTTTCAGGACAGCCTGGGCTACATAGTTATAAAACAAGACTTGTCTCAAAGAACAAAAACAATAAATGAAGAAAACAAGAAAGAGTGGTGGCGAGAAAGAAAAAAGAAAATGAAAGTGGAGGGAGGGAGGAAGAAGGAATGGAGAAAGTAAAGGAAGAAGGAAGAGAGGGAGGGAAGAGAGAAGGAAGGGAGAGAGAGAGAAAAGGAGGGAGAGGAAGGAAGGAAGAAAGGAGGAAGAAGAAAGAAAGGAGAAAGAGAAAGCAGCAGAAGCTATTTTGGCCTTTGACAGTGTTTCTTGATCTTAGCTATAAAATACAAGTAAAGCCATATCCTGTCTGTGTTATTTCTCTGTGTCACCCAGGCCGGTCCTAACATTTGTGAGGTCCGCAGAATGAAAAACCATTTTCTCTATGCCAAAGATTTAAAGGTTACAAATGCAAACTGCTAAGTGAAATTACACTGTTTTCTTCCACCCTAGCAAATGCACCTCCACAGAGCAGAACTGAAAAGTAAGTGTGCAGCTATGGCTGTTGGTGCTTTTCTCTCTCCAAGGGTTGTGCTGGTTCTCATTGTTTGGAGTACTCAGGCTCAAGTTGACACTCACCTTTGAGAGATGGCTAGAAATGGTAACCTATCTCTGACCAGGTAATGTCATTATTTTTATTGCTACTGATGTGTTGTAATACGAAGCGGCGGGCTGTGTCCCACCACCCGGCTAGCTTTACCCAAAATAATTACATGGAAACTGTATTCTTTTAAACACTGCCTGACCCATTAGTTTCAGTTTCTTATTGGCTAGCTTTTACATATTGATCTAACCCATTTCTATTAATCTGTGTAGCCCAAGAGCTGGCTTACCAGGAATGATCTTAACCTGCGTCTGTCTGGAGTGGGAGAATCATGGCGACTCCCTGACTTAGCTTCTTTCTCCCAGCATTCCATTCTGTTTACTCCGCCTACCTAAGGGTTGGCCTATCAAATGGGTCTAGGCAGTTTCTTTATTAATAAGAAATCACTCCCACATCATTTCCCCTTTTTCTGTTTAAACAAAAAAGAAAGGCTTTAACTTTAACATAGTAAAATTATATATAGCAAAACAGTTATCAAGCAAGAATTACAGTTACAATATTTATATCTATTTTATTTTTTATCATTACTAAGGAAAACTATAACTATCTATTCATTCTTTAACTCCATCAAAGACTCCAGAAGGATATAATACTACCTAAGTAAACAAGAAATAAGAAAACTCTAGAAATGACAGAGACATCTTGCTGCCTGGACAGTCACCCAAAGTTCTTTTGTATGGTTGGGACATCCATCTTCAGCCTTCAGGCCCATAGTATCCAGCAGACATTTCCATGAAGCAGGAAATTTTAAAGACAGTTTAGTCACTATCTGCTGTGTCCTGTAGAATGTCTCGCAGACTCTTTCATGAGTCATGAACCCCAAAAGACCGTTTCACCTTTAGGCAAGTTCAGCAGTCCTCTCTCTGTGGGTTCTCTGTGTCCATTTTATGCAACAGTCCAGGCAAGAGCAGTTTCTTCGATGCCCGTCTTCCTCTTGAAGTAGATTGGTGCTGCCAGGAGCAGATATTATTGTCATGAAAAGTCCCAAGTTATTAAAACATTGAATGCCATATTCTGCAGTCTTTGAAAGATATGAAGAATATCTATCTAACTGAAATGTATCTCTATATATCTAGAAAATCTAACTAACATGACTATAAGATTGACTATTATTGATGATTAACCATTAACCTATATTTCTTAATTATACATTACATTTTTAAATGAACTACGCAATCACAATACCTTAATCAAGATCAGAAATACATATACATATAACAAAATTGACTGTAAAATCCACACCAATGCAAATTACTTATACCTATATCATTTCCCCCTTTAAATGTAAAAGAACATTTACAAACAATATTTTGGGAACATGGGCGCAGTTTTTTCTCTCCAAACTGCTTCCTGCTGAATGGGGGCGCTGTTAATCAGATCATTTAGGGTGTAACCTGTGTGCCAGGTTTATCTCAGTTGCCAGTTGAATGAAGTAATTTTTTGAGGGTGTTCACAGGAACTTTTCGGGAGGTCGTGGTCTATCATACCATATCGGGATAGATGCAATCCACAGGGTCTGGTCCTCTGTGAAAACAAAAGAAGACCCTTTTCAAAGCATCATATCCTTAGACCCAAATTCTGAAGTCATACCCTTATGATATCCGTTTTGGTTTTACTTGGCAGCCCATAGAATGAAATGTCTTTCTGTACTTAGCTCCTTTACAGTCAAAAATTTTAAAGAAAACATAATGTACATAATCCAGACTCTCTGTGAATTTTTTATTTTTACGTGGCTTATTTTTTTTATTTTTTTTAATCTCTTAACTATCTGTATTTTGTCTCTTTAAAGACTTTACCTTTTTTTTTAAACCATTAACTTTATTTTTTATATTTTTTTTTCTCTCTCAAGTCTATGTGTATTTATACAACAGTGTGGTCTTTTATGTCTGAATCTGTTTTATTGTGAATTTGTAACATTTTTTTACTATCCAGGAGCATTTTTTAAAATGTTAAGCAGTTCTTAAAAACTTAAGTTGTGCCATGTACAGGTAATACGGTACCGCCTGTGTCCTGTCCAGTTGAAACCTTAAATGTGCTGTTTTTATGGTAATTATGGTAGTTCCTGCCTGAGACCAGCACAGTTTAGCATGGCAGAGCTGAGCCAAGCCGCTCCTGCCTCAGAGCCATTTGGTGCCCCTGAGCCACACACAGTTTCAGGCACATAGCAGTCCACATTGTCATCAAGTAAGCCGTAGAGCTTTATTTCAAATGCTCCATTTAAAAGCTCTGTCTCCCGCAGGAGCCAGACAGAGATCGCAATGGCGGCACAGCCCAGAAAGCCGACATTTTAAAACAGCCAGTTTTTTTCTGCTGCTGAGTCAGGACAATTTATTTGCGGCATGCAACCCACAAACAGCAAAAAGCTGTTTTAAATTCTCTCTCTCTCCTTTTTAAGCCCTCTTAGGTTTTACATGGAGTTCATTAGCACGTTGGGCGCCACTCTGTTGTAATACGAAGCGGCGGGCTGTGTCCCGCCACCCGGCTAGCTTTACCCAAAATAATTACATGGAAACTGTATTCTTTTCAACACTGCCTGACCCATTAGTTTCAGTTTCTTATTGGCTAGCTTTTACATATTGATCTAACCCATTTCTATTAATCTGTGTAGCCCAAGAGCTGGCTTACCAGGAATGATCTTAACCTGCATCTGTCTGGAGTGGGAGAATCATGGAGACTCCCTGACTTAGCTTCTTTCTCCCAACATTCCATTCTGTTTACTCCGCCTACCTAAGGGTTGGCCTATCAAATGGGTCTAGGCAGTTTCTTTATTAATAAGAAATCACTCCCACATCACTGATGTACTCCAATGTATCAATAAGTATTGGAATAAAGGTATACCTAATT